CATTAATCGTTAATTATCTTAAAATGAGTATCAAAAAACAGTATTGCCTCTCAGTACTCTCAGTTCTTTGATGAATTTCCTTATTGGCTGCTAGCTTCTACGGGCTTAGTGGCTGCTGTTATTGGCTGCTAGCTTCAGCCTGGTCGAAAAGTGACTTAATCCGATGATTGTACATATAATCTGATGCCAGGTCGTGTCAATTTTAGTTATGTAAATACAAAACAGCTTTTCGTTTTATAACTCTGTAATAAAGGTTATTGTGATATAATCATCCTTCAGTTCGAGATAAATGAAATAGTAATGATGAGAACATCGCAGTTTAAAAAATCAAATATAGGTGATTGTAATTATCTAGCTCTATTTGCTTTTTTTTTTTACATTTTCAGTGGCGGAACCAGGAATCTTGAGAAGGAGGGGGTGGGCGATTAGTTTGGGATCGGAGTTGGGAACCATAACCACACAAAAATTGATTTATTAAATTCTATGTAAATTTTGGACACAAAAAAAGGGGGGGGGGCTGTCCCTCTAAATTCGCCAGTGTTTTTTCTTTCACTAAATCGTCGATTCGTACTTGTTTTAATACTTTTTGTAAGTAAGTGTAAGAGAACTGATATTGTGTACAATTGTTTTCGTTTGGCCTAATTTTTTTCTAGCCTAGGCTAAAGTTTTTCCAGACAAACCTAGTGTCAACGAGTGCAGCCACCCATTCGGTCAATTAAAAATGTTTCAGGCCCATTACTTCCAAATAATGGAGGTCGCATCAGAAAAATGAACAGCCTCAATTTTGATTCGCTTTTAGAAAATGTCATGCCGTGTTCAGTTTCACGTACATCAGAGGGTGGTCAATGGAGCGTAAAATTTAATCTTTACCAGGAGTACAGTTACTAGTCAAAATGACAAAGTTAAAATGCGAAGATGCTAATATACGCTTTTGTCTAAAACAAAAAAGTATATACTATACGACTAAAGAATTTGATTTTAGTGCATCGATTCCAATATCGGCCAATACATCTTGAAGTATTTTCGGTCGAAAAAGACATTAACTTCAATATCTTTGCACGTGATCTGCATTTCTGCTATTTCAATCCAGATATACCCCAAGTTTAATTTCCAATCATTCAGAATCAATCTAACGCACTTGTATTTACCGATGAATGTACGCATCTGTTTTCTGATCAATTTCTATTTCTTCCTACGATGAAATATCTTATAGAGTGAATGGATTTCAATAAAGAGTCTATCTATATCAATCTATATCAATGATTTATCAATTTTAAGGTTGGGAAAATATGGGGAAAAAAATTAAATTCAACCCACTCAAAGACCCCCTCCCCTTTTTCCCGGAAGTGGTTCTAAAATATTTTAAAAGAAAATTCTGGAAAATTCATTCAGAATATTCGCCTTATAGGATAGCACGGTTATAAGATGTAAAAATTATAGTGTATAACGCGTGCATATTTTATGTTAATCTTGAGAAGCAGAAAATGAAAACAAATTTTCATCAGAAAGTAGGAAACTCGTCTCAAACATTTTACTAGAGAACAGGAATGAAGAGTAAAATTATATTAAAAAAAATATCAGGAATCAAAGGACTTACATTTTATCTAAGTTCTTTTACTAGACTACAAGTGGTTCTTGAGAAGAATTAAAAAAAACAAAACAATTTCTCTATATACATGCATGTATTTCAATCACAGGCATTCGTTTCAGTAATAAATGATTTCAATGCCATACTTACGGTCCCGTGTTACCCCCAGGAGTTACAACAATTTAGAATCTACACTACCCCAGGATGCTTCTGCGTAAGTTTCAGCTTTTCTGGCCCAGTAGTTCTTGAGAAGATTTTTAAAGATTTTTTATGATTTCAATGTAAAACTTGGATTCCCTGTCGTGGCTTCGCCCTAACCCCGGGGGTCATGGTTTGGATATTTTATAATCTTCACTACCCCAGGATGCTTCCACGAAAGTTTCAGCTTTCCTGGTCCATTGGTTCCTGAGAAGATTTTTTAATGACCCCACCCTATTTTTGCCTTTTCTTGATTATTAGCCATTGTTAAGGGAGTTTGGTCTTTCAATGTAATAATTTAAACTCTCCTTAACCCAAGGATGTTTTGATTAAGTTTGTTTAAAATTGGTCCAGTGCTTCTTGGTGCTTCTTGAGACGAAGTTGAAAATGTAAAAATTTACAGACGGACGGACAACGGGTGCATTTCCAACAAGAGGCCCATGGGCCACATCTCTCACCTGAGAAATTTGGTCATGCCTGTTCTTTAACAGATATCCCCCTTTGTAATATCAATTGTGACCACGCCCTACCCACGCGGGTCATTTGGGCAATTTAGAATCTTATATATTTCATTACCCTAAAATGCTTTCACATAATTGGTTTCAGCTTTTCTAGCCTAATGGTTCTTGAGGAGAAGATTTTCAAAGTTTTTTCCTATATATTTCTATGTAAAACTTGGATTCCGCATTGTGGCCCTGCCCTACCCTTAGGGGCCATGATTTGAAACAATTTGGAATCTACACTACCCCAGGATGCTTTTACATAACTTTCAGCTTTTCTGGCCCAGTGGTTCTTGAGAAGAAGATTTTTAAAAGATTTTTCCTATATATTTCTGGGTCAAACTTGGATTCCCTATTGTGGCCCCACCCTACCCCCGGGGGGCATGATTTGAACAATTTAGAATCTACACTACCCCAGGATACTTCAACATTAGTTTCAGCTTTTCTGGCCCAGTGGTTCTTGAGAAGAAGATTTTTTAATGACCCCACCCTATTTTTTGTATTTTCTTGATTATCTCCCCTTGGAACGGGACTTGGCCCTTCATTTTTAAGAATTTAAACTCCCCTTCACCCAAGGATGCTTTTTTACCAAGTTTGGTTAAAATTGGCCCATGGTTCTTGAGAAGTTGAAAATGTAAGAAGTTTTCAGATGGACGGACGAACGGACAGCTGGACAGACGGACAACGGGTGATCAGAAAAGCTCATCTGAGCTTTCAGCTCAGGTGAGCTGAAAAGTGTACTGTTCAGCCCACCACATGTAATTTTATGCTAACCTTATAGTTTCCTCCACATATAGGTTTTTATTTGCAGTACAGCGTACCTGAACGAACGTAATAAATTCGGCTTTTACCATAAATTACAATGTTCTTTTTAAATAGATCGAGATACTACAGTATCAACAATTAACCGAGTGACTGAGTTTAAGTAATTGCTGCAGAAAACAGTTTCTCACTAAAAAGATAAAAAAAAATATTTTTAAAAATGAATCTATATACATAACCGATATGCTCTCTCTCTCTCTCTCTCTTTCTCTCTCTCTCTCAGGAATTACCATCAAATAAATAACCCATTATTGGAATTCCTTAAAGCTGTTTCTATTGCTCAGTCGTATCATTCGGCAGGCGTACTTGCGAGTGATATATGAGAAGTTACGCGATAACTCTTTTTATTCATCTTTAAATACCAAGGTAGCAAAATTTACACTAATATTTACGCTACCCCGTATCATTAACCCCTGTCGCAGGCTTACTGCTCTTTGACATGAACTGCGGTGGCGTGCTGATTGCTCAAGCTGTTTGTTGCTAGTATTAATCCTCATGGCGCATAGTATAAAAATTCAATGAACAAAAATTGATCAAACCACGCGGAAGTTAAAACATAGATATCAGAGATGCCGAGTCGAGGATTTAGGATATTTCAATAAGAACTCGATCCGCCGCAACTTCATGCTGTCCTATTAGTGACAAAAATTTGTCAGAGGAAAAAGAATTGTGCATATTACGTTCGTGTTGCAAGTCAAGCACTTTTGGAGGGCTTCTTTACATTTTCTAATCAGTAGCAACCCATTTCCCGTCGTTCAAGATAAATACTACCGAAGGACCTGTTCTATCATCTATCTATTTTGTCATCTCAAGAGGTACCAAGAAAAATGAGAATTAAAGTGTGAAAACAAAAAGATGAAAACTGTTTCACTGGATTCGTAAAGTACTTGAATTCATCAAGAGTTTCCTTTTTCACCATTAGCGCTGGGAGAAAAAATGATAATCGTCTCAAATTTATTTCGAAACTTTGGTGTTTTTGTTTTCTTGATTTTCTGTGTCATTAGGAGCATCTGTCTCGAATATGTGACAAAATCCACAAAATATGGGAAAGTGCGAGGATCCGTGGAAACTGTATACTCAGGGAAAAAGATCGAGAGGTTTTTAGGAGTTCCCTATGCCTCTCCTCCTCTGAACGAATTGAGGTTTGAGGTAAGAATATATATTAAGTTTATGTAGTTTGTGATACTCAGTGAAATAAAGAAAGACAATTGACAAAATGACTATATAAAAATAATTGCTCCTATGGTAGATTGATGGAATATTTTCAAATATTGATAAAGAAGATGGGTGAACAAGGCGTGCAAAATGCCTATAATTCAGATATCTAAAAAATCAGGTCCAAAATTTGAACCAAGTATTTAACGTAAAGTTCTCATGCAGTAATGAAATTTTTGAAATTATGATATTTTACAAAACTTCTCTAAGAAAATAGTCTCGGAAAAAAATATTCTTTTATTTTAAAAAATAAAATGGTATTCGTCGGATTCGAAACCTAGCATTTACATATTGGTTTGAGTCTAACACGCAAACCACTGCGCTAAAGGTCCCGATGATTTGTGGCATTTAAATCATGTTTGTGATAGGATCCTTGACTTAATGGTCTTCAAGTATTTCCCGGAAACATGCGAATGTTTTGTTATAAAAGAGTACTTTTAAAGAATAGTGGGTCCTTGCTCCATTTTTTTTAACCAAAAAAGCACTTTTTGTGAAAATGTCTAGGTTGAATTACATAAAATGGAGCGAAGACCCATCATATCGAAAAAAATTTGTTAAAGTATGAGAAAATGGTCCTTTTTGTCCATTTCAGGGTGTGTATGCTTTTTCATGAGAAAATTTCAGTCTTTGTGAGATTTTTGTAAACTGTAGAAATTTTACTTAAAGTATACTTTAATGTTAGATGAAATATCAAAGAAAATGTTGATATATTTCACTTCATGTTTGTCGCACTATAGACATTTCGTCTGCCTTATTCACTTATCTCCTATGAATTTTGATTAGGTTAATATTTCTGGAAATTCTTCAAAACTCTTTACAATCGGGTAACCTTTGGGTACTTCTTCTGTAAAGACTCACGTGTTACTTTTATATTGCGTAGTATAGAGCTTCCTCAATATTTCTACACATTTTCAGCCCAAGATAGAAAAATAAACTCCGCAAATACATATTTGTATCATAATTTATTTTTGTGTATGCATCAGTTTATAGAGTTAAACCCTCCCCCACACTAAATGTATAAGTGTGAATATAATTATATATATACATATTAAACATTCATATTCACATAATATCACACGAGTAATACTTTCATTGTAAGGGAAGGACCTGTTTAACTCTATAAATATATACATCAAGTAATATAAAACCAATTTTTTGGTTTACATACATGTACAATTATCAAATAGATCAAGTATTAAAGTAATTTTATATATTATACTTTCATGTAAATTAGATGAATCTGATTGGTCGATAAACATTTGTTAAAAAACACTATTACCCGATGAATAATGAAGCCACGCCCCCAGCTAGCAACAGTCAACATTGCTTGACGACGGGTAATATTCCAAAAAATAGCGACTGCACAGAATTTATGCGCGGACGGTTCACTGTTACATGAAATTATATGAAACATTCAGTATAATATAATAAATATTGCATGTAGTTGAGTGTAACATTGCGCCTCGGTTGACAATGGTTTTCTTGGGGTGAAAATTTTCAATGTTACACTCAACTACATGCAATATTTATATAATACGTCTTGTCGGTTATTCACAGTATAGTAGTAATCGGCACATTTATAGAATTAATTTGTCCTTTGTCTTTTTTTAAACTTATGTCCCAAATTTTAAGAGCTTATGAGGTATTGTCCGGTTTTCTTTTTTAAATTCAATATACAAGCTAATAAGTATCTTAATTTTTTTCTTTCCGTATATACCCGGTAATATTTTCGTTTTGATAGAAAGTTTGTGGACGGGATAGATTCTGATTATTTAGGTTCGTCTTATATACAGTTAAATCTCCTTACCCCAAACTCAATGGGACCAAGAATAACTTTCAGATACAGTAAAACACGATTATAGCGAACACATTTGTTATGAACTGACATTTACAGCGAAGGGGTTTTCATTCCGCGTGACTTTAAAATCTATTTTAAACTCGATGAATATAACGAATTACGCATATAAGGAAGCAAAATCGTCCATATAGCAGACGCACGGACAGACAGTCAAACGCCGCGTAAACTAAAAGTGATCCCTAAGTGCCGCTCTGCTGGCAGCACAAATAATTACATAGTGGGATATTTTAGCGTATCAACGTCAGTTTTCGTTGACTAGCGCGTTATAAACGGCTACCCACAACTTTTAAATCTTGTGGCTCGTAGGGGAGGGGGTACCTCTGTGAAAATGTCTGTTTTGCGTTGTAGCGTATCAACGTAAAGTGCGAAACGAAATAGAAACGAAAAACGAACTTTAAATCTTGTCAAGGCTCTAAGCGAAACAAAACTATCAAAATGTTTGGGCTTTTTTCAGATTAAGGTACATGTACATAATTATATATGTGTACGTGCATATGGACTTTTTTTTTCTTCAAATAAAATTTATATAGTTCAAGCACTTGTTAATATAAAATTTAATTACCGGCTCCCTAGGGGCGTACTATGCATGATGTATAATTTCAATATGTGCAGTATTTTCCATATCTAACTCTTATTTTCAGTCCTTCTTTATCAAGATACAACATATCTATCAAAATTGTGTGAAAATGTCTGTTTTGCGTTGTAGAAAAGAGATGGTAACACTTATACCGTTCAAAATTAATTCAGTAATGTTCAGAGTTTGAACTACTTTTCCCCAATAAGAGATCAAAGATTTGTATGAAAATTAAATATTTTGTTTTGTAATCTGGACCCCACAAGATAACCACTATAACAAAAAATATTTCTTGGAGCAAGTCATTAAACAAAAGTGAACCTCTTTCATCGTTTTTATTGAGTTTCAGTGTGTTACTCTATTAATTTTATTGCTGATTAAAGGATCTTGAAATACGAAAACAAATTTCCGATTTTCAAGGGTAGGAAAGCTACAAAGAAAATTTGATGTAAATCATTAACAGCAAAAGCGATGTGAAATTGGTGCAATTTTGTAAGTAGCAAGTATTCGTTTGTTTCCAATGCCTGTTAACACAAAACTCATTAGAACTATAGTTCTCAATGTTTGCATACTTGCACTTGAAATAAACAAAAAGAAATGAATTAGGACAGAAATATTAATAAGAATCTTCTTTACTAAACAAAGCCTTGTAGTTTCTAAATAGAAATTTGCTAAAAAGTTTAATTGCTAGAAACCAAGGATAAAAATAAAATAGATTTTTTAAAAACAGAATTTGGCATCCCTAATACAGTAATCACTAAGATACAAATATTTGCTTATATCTTATCCCGATATTCCATAGTTGGGAAATAATTGAGGTAGATAATAGTGTTATATTAACCAGGGAAATAACAAGGACTCAATAACAATTTACTCATCACTTCGTTAGAGTTTAGAAAATTACATATCGACGCGTGAAAAATTGAACAAGAAAACTTATCATTAGCTTAGAACAGACATTTAGGAGTTCGTTAATTTTAACCTTGGGTAAAATTTTCAATATAAATGGCAACGATCAATTATTTCGGTTGACAAACTGCCCAGGAAGCCTATGATTTCCCGAATTCTTAGATTTTCAGTAGCTTTACTTTACAGTTTGCGCTCGATTTGATGGAAATGTACGACATCGTGATACTTCGAAATTTACTAGTATATAGTCTGGGACATTCTTCAGTAAAAAATGTGCTTAAAAGACTGAAAATGTTGATCTGTTTTTTGTTTTATTTAATGAAATTTTCTTTAAAGTAGATGGAATCTCTCTCTCTTTCTCTCTCTCTCTCTCTCTCTCTCTCTCTCTCTCTCTCTCTCTCTCTCTCTCTCTCTCGAGCATTTTCTTTCATCCTTAGATATTGCAAATATCAAGAAGCGAGGGCGGAAAAAAATCAAGGCTTATGAAAGCACACAGATTTTTGTTTATGATCTTAATAACTCTCAGTACATTTGTACTTACATCTCTTTAATTGCACTTTAAACTCTGACGAAAATTAAAGACACCTTAATTCTGGTGGAGTAATTTCAACCTTCTGAACAATGTCGAAAACTGTGTAAAATACTCTCACTCTCGCCAACAATTTAGATGATATTGGCAAACACACTGATTCGTTTGTTTATCTAGATATACCCTGACCTTACTTCCCCCATTTCTTTTGTAAATATTTTGCTTTGATGTGAATATTTTTTTACTGCCTCAAATAACTTCAATCCATCATCGTTGGTTTTTTTATGGAAAGGATGATATCGAAAACCTGAAAATCGATAGAATTTTATTGTCTATGAATTTAATTTTAGCCTTGAGTATTAAGAAAAAATAAAAAGGGAAACAATTATTGTCTATTTCTGGTTATCTTTAAGGCATCCCTTATTGAAAATTTAAACCCAGTATATTTTGGATTGATAGAACTGTTCATTTAGATTTATTAGATATTTTTAGACTCATATATTATTCTACCGCCAAAAGAAAGCCGACAAAATTGTCTTTCAGAAAAAGTATCATTTAGCCAATCATTAAAGGTTAATAATATTTCTTTTTGTAATATAATTCATCACGTTTCAATTAATATTCTAATTATTTTTACCGAAATACATGCATTTAAATATTTTTAAGTCTAAAATATTGATGGAAGTGAGTAATTCATATTAATTTTGCAAAACAAAACAAATAAACAAACAAAAACAGCTGAAGTCTCTAATATAAGCCGATTAAACTGCAGAAGTGTTCTTGCCTGACAGTGCACGGTCTTACACCAACGGCATGATGTTTTTCAGCACCCCGTACCCCCCGACCCCTGGGAGGATGTACTGGATGCCCTTGAGATCCCCCCTGCGTGTCCCCAACCCGGGGAGGGTGTGGCCTACATTGAATATCATGTACCAGACTTCAACTACACCAGCGAGGACTGTTTGTATCTAAATATTTATTCACCAAAAGTAAGTATGTGTATATATCATACAATGTATAAGGTGTTTCTACATGCTTTCTATTTATATGTAAATTCGGTTTATTTGGTTTCCGGGTCTCAGTAGATAACTTTAGTAGTGGTTATATGATTTAAAACAAAATCGCTTTTTTGTGTCAACAGTAACTGATTTGGTTAATCAGATTTAAAAATGAATGCAGATGATGCGAGGAATATTCACCTTGAAAGTCCATAAATAGGTTTTTTGTTCATTATTCTCTGAAAAGATTGATAAAATGCGACAATAAAAAGTCTTTATTGCACATTCTTATAGATAAGCCGTGAAAATACAGTGCTGAAACCTTAAACCGTACATTTGCAGGTCCTTTAGTAGGACAAAGCTTAAGGTGGCCGTTCGGTTAACACAAGATAGTACAAGACCTAGATAAGGATGCCCTTGGATTCTGATTCCTACCTGTAGTTTGTACTATCTAGTGTTATTTTACCATGCATTTCCATATAATACATTAAAATGCAATACAATATTAATCCACTAATATATGATCTATATTGTGATCCAAATTTTCTTCGTTCAGATCTATTCGTAAGGTATATCGATATGTTATACATGTATAAATCATATTTTGTTTCTTGAGAAATTATTCTTTTAAAGGCATATACGTAGTTCTTAAAACTATATACATGTACAACGAATTCTTACCGTAAAATATATTTGGATTTACATTTTATTATTATTTTGAGATATTTTTTATTTTATAAAAGTTTCCTTCTATTAAAAATCATTCAAAATATCCTCGGGGGGGGGGGGTAAATAACCTCAGAAATACGTCAAAACAGGTTACTAGTATTTGACTTATTTATTTGGATATCGTCAGTTAATGAATTGCAGCAACTGCACGAGCCACGCATGATAACCAGAGCGAACAGGTGCGACAGACAACCTTTGTATTCAGTTGCAAAAATTTTAAGAAATATATATATGCTTTGGGGGACCTACATTTGAAAAAAAAAAGATTCAGAAATATACGCAGAATGGCAAATATGGAAACATCTGCATTGCAATACTGATTTGACTTGTTGGTTTGTTACGACCTTATATGAACTTGGGCGTATATAAAATGAAACTGCACCTCTAAAACTATAATCCAAGCTTAATACAAAATATATTTATTTCTGATACTTTTATCAACGTATTTCGAGATTTTAAAAGATGGCACTAGAAAAAAAATTAAGTAATTTCATAATAAATTATAAAAGCTTCACGTTGATTCTGCATTACGCACACGAGTATCTATAACTATTATTAAGCATCGTTGCTACATATAGAAAATATTTCATGATTAGCCCTTTTATAAAGGTAAATGAACTTTTCTTCGGCTTACATTTCCCATATGTCAATTTTTCTGGAAAATCTTATTTAAAAAAATCGGAGAGTATTACCAGTCATTTTTATATTATTACAAGAATTCATTGTTATATATATAAGTAAAAAAAATCTGTGATTAACACGTGTACGTGTAAAGTATGTATGACCTTTGTCAGTTCAAAAGTTTTTTTTTTAATTTATTGGGGTTTATCTTAATTGATAGGAATCAGAGTAAAGTACATGTACAATATATATAGCTTGATTATTTTAAGCCGATATACACGTATTTAAGTCAGTGAGTTTAAAGTAATATGAACATCAGAAATTTATTAACATTATTTTTTTCTGTCATTGAAATAGTTATTTACAATTTTGCAACAAAAAATTCTGACATCAAAGTTGCAGCTCATATTGCTAGGGTTTATATACTGTACGTGTACATTATTTGGCGTATTCAAAATTTAGCGCAATAAGTTAATTGTTGGTCTAATCATGACTTTGCATGTCTATGTCGTTTTTGGTTCTTAGCGATATTCATGAATTAGTCCATTATTGTCTGTGCTAAAGCCGCTATAAATGAGGCCCGCTTTAAATGCATGTAGCAGGGGTCTAAAAATTTTGGATGAGCGAGAAGGGAAGAGTTCTCCACTGAAAAGAGATTCAAACTCGGATGGAATTTTTTTTTGTAATTCCTCATATTAATCATTAACATGCCAAAAGGGATATACATGTCGACAGTGATATGGCATTCTCTCTCTCTTTCTCTAAAACCCCATTTCTTTTCTGTACTTTTCAATCAAATACTTCCGTTCTTCTTGATGCCTCTTTGTGTGTGAGATCGAGTTCCCATAGTGCAAACTGTATTTCCAACATTGCATAATTCAGTAATACATATCGTGCCTTTTCGAGATGGGAGCATTCAACTCCTTTGAAAATACAAGCAAGTGTATGGTTACAAAACACACAACCTTAGAGCTCAAGTGTAGCTACAATGATACGTCTGAAATCATTATCTCGTCTATTAAAGTAAAGTAAATGTAATAAGATCTAAAGAAAACACTTAGGTACAGTTCGATCGTTTAGAGAGTCCTCTTTAACCCAGAGACAGTGATCTAAGGACGCGAACAATAAAAGACGAGGGGTACCGAGTGTCGTAATACAACACCGCCATGTCAAAGTGTTTTTAAAAGTCGTTCAACTTCTTTTATGGATAAATGAATGACGGGGTGACTGGGGTAGTAATTGTCAGTTTAACTCGTTTACTTTATCTTTTAGACGATAGATGTTAAGTTATTTAGATGGCGCTCCGTTTAGTATGTATTTTTTGTAACAAAGTAAGAACAACGGAAATGAGGCGTTATTGTAAAAACGGTCGAGACACATAAAATTCGAACAATCAATTCATCTTGACACGGTTTTTCTCTCTACAATTTTCTTATTAGGCCTCTACTTCTGCTTATCGAATTTCTTTTTTCTCGTCTTATATGAAACAGTGCTTAAGTACTATATGGGTCGACAGTATTTGTTTTGTCGCTTTGTGTATGTTTGTCCATTCGAACAGTCTTGTACATTAAAATATTGCTGATAACACCTTAAAAAAGAAGCATTAAAATATTGCTGATAACACCTAAAAAATGCATTAAAATATTGCTGAAAACACCTTAAAAATCGTGAAAGATCGACGGGATTATATTTTTTGGCTACCTCAAGGCTACTAGAACTGTCACATAACACTTAGTTTGAATATTTTGCTATAAGAGAGAAAGAGATGTGTTTGGGAAACACTGATGTGGTAGCTTTTAAGGAAAGTTGAAGTTTCTCAATTCCAAATCAAACTTAAAGGTCAAAGAATGAAATTTTTTTTATCTACTTGTTCTCGTTGAATATACTTATGGAATATGAAAGCCTAAACACTAACCATTAAAATGTTATGACCAAACTTCAAACTTAAAGTTTTAAATGTAGATCAATCTCTAAGGCCAAACGGTCAAATGAAAAGTATCCAGGGGAAGGCCTTTTTATAAGAAATACATATGTGAAATATTAGAGCCCTTACACGTGAAGTATGAAACCCATAGCACCACTTGTTAATAAGTCTTGGACAAGGTTAAAGTTTGCAAGTGAGTCAAATTCCAGGATCCAAGTCAAGAGGTGCACATAAGAAATGCACATGTGTTTTTAATGCCCCCTTAATCGAAGATTCGGGGGTATATAGTTTTTGTCGTGTCCGTCCATCTGCCTGCCTGTTTGTCCACAAGAGCTTTAACCTTGTCCATAACTTTTGATTTAGTGAAGCTATGACTTTCATATTTTACATGTGTATTACTTGTGACAAGACCTTTCTTTGTTTAGAGGAGTTTGACCCACTTTTCCACAAAAATTCCAAACTTTTACTTGAGACACAACTTTTACACTCTTAAAAAAGTTTTACTTAGTAGTCATTTTTTACTTGAAATAACAAAGATAAGTAATAGATAATTACTAAGCATTTACTTAATATTTAAAATCAATTACAAATATATGTCAATTACTAGATTCAAATGTTTTACTTGATTTTTGTATTTTAAAGAATTGTTTTACTTACACACTAAAAAGTTTTACTTAGTAATATATATTTACTTAAATTTGTGTATATAAGTAATAACATTACTTGGTCTTTACTTACATTTTACCATTATTTACTATATAATTAATATTTTAATGCCCCCGTAAACGAAGTTTCGGGGGTATATAGTTTTTGTCGTGTCCGTCTGTCTGTCTAGCTGTCTCTCTGTTTATCCGCAGAAACTTTAACATTGCCCATAACTTTTGATTTAGCGGAGCAATGACTTTCATATTTCACACGTGTATTCCTTGTGACAAGACCTTTCTTTGAGTATCACCAAATTTGAACCTTGAAGTTTGACTCACTTATACACAAAAAATCCAAACTTATTCTTCATCCAAATCTTTTGAACAGTAAATACCAGGACATTTATACTTCACATATATATTTTTTGTTGAAAGAAATTTCATTGAATACCAACAACTATGAACAACTTTTGACCTTGACCTTGGAGATTTTCATCCTTGTGAAAAAAACCCTTTAACCTTGGCATAACTTTTGAACGGTAAGAAATAGTACTTTCATACTTACATATATGTAATCATTTTGAGAAGACCATTCATAGGATACCAAGAACTTTGACCCTTTGACCTTGGAGTTTGACCCACTTTTAAAAAGCAAACCTTGACTGTAACTTTAAAAGGATTAGGGTTAGTACATTCATACTTTACATAGTTCATCCTTGTGACAAGACCTTTCTGTGGGCACCACCAAATCTGTCCCTTTGTCCTTGACCTTGGAGTTTGACCTACATTTCAAAATTGATAACCTTGACCATAACTTCTGAAGGGTTGAGGCAAGTGTTTCCATATTTCACATATGTATTTTTTGTGACAGGACCTATCATTAGATACCAATATCCTTGACCTTTTGACCTTGGAGATATCAAGAAATACCAATAATTTAAATTTGCATATAAGAAAAGTTTAACCTTTGCTATGTTGCCATACGGGGGCTTGTTTCACAAACACATCTTGTTTAAATTGTATTTAATTGATTTACTTAAAACAAAAATTTATTTACTAAATCAAGGAGAATT